TAGATCTATATTAAAAATCAAAGGAAAGATAACATTTAATGGCATTGAAAATTAAAGAAATTAAAACTTTAATGCCTGTAAATTAAATTTTATTGGAGCACAGTCAGGCTCATTCATTTACATATTGTCTGTGGCTGGCTTAGTGCCCCAGCAACAAAGTCCAGCAGTTGTGACAGGGACCCCGTGGCCTGCACTGCTTAAATATTTACTACCTGGCTTCTTACAGAAAAAAATGCTTACCAACCCTGATTTAGACAAAATGAGAATTAGAGTAGAAGAGAACTGGAATATTACATGAAGCTATTCTTAGTGTAAATAACACAAAAGGTCACACAGATCCAGTTAATAATGTTGACAGAAATAAGTTTGTGAACATTTTAGTAAATTATTGAGAGTATAAAAAATTTTCTTTCCTGATTTTATACCTATAATCCTGTGATATTTGCCCTGCACATCCATGCCACTCTGCCAATGAACACTACAAAGGCAAAAATACATCTTCAATAGCCACAATTTAACTTTCCATTGTTACAAATCAGAGGCTATAACAAGCAGATTTTTGGTGAACGTGCCACAGATGTGAAAGCTCAGAGAGAACAAAACTGGGAAGTTTTTTCCATTTTATTCTTTTATTTATTTAGTACCATACCGTAAATTATTAAAGAGACAGGTGCTCCTTGCAACATCGTTTCTACTGTCGTTTTAGCCCACACTAGCTGAGGATCAATGTCCTGACAGGTATCTCAACCACAGACTACAATTTCAACCAGGGACTCATGAGGCTGGAATGTTGGAGAGTTGGATTGTATATCTTTTTCTTCAGCCCAGCTATAGAAATAGACGCCAACGATAAAGAAAAGCACTGACGACTTTAGTCTGCATTCCCCATCTAATAGGCATATCCAGTCACAAGTTACACAACACAAGAACGGCAGCTTAGACACAAAAATGCAGAGACTTTCACTTCCAAGCTAGACTGAATTTAATCTCCCCTGAATCACATTCTAATTCTACCTCCTATAGAAAATCAATCATTCAATGTCTTTTCAGGGGTGACTGTTAAGTCCATAGAGTGGATGGGATTACCCAAGGAGAGTGACAGACTAGGGACAGCGTCTAAACATCTCATGGGATCTCACCTGAGCCGGAGTTCCCAGAGCTGGAACATGGACAGGGATGAGCAGAAGCGCCCCTCAAGCTGCAGAGCTTGGAGCCAAGAGATTTCCAGAAAACAATGTGCAGGTGGGATAACTAGACATCAAGTACCTCCTGATGTGATATACCCATAGCTACTAAAAATGTTTAAACTAACCCTAATCAAACTTTTAACATCTAACTTTCAGTTATGAAGAAATACAGGGAATAGAGAATAATGAACACCATGAGGAAAAGTCTGACAAAATCAAAATATAAGGTTTTCTGTAATAAAATTGGCCCCCTGTCTTGGAAAAGTCAATATTGGGGCTGGGTGGAGGAAGAGTTAAAACTATTCTACATTAAAAGGAATTTAAGAGATATAATTTAAGAGATTTATGTGTAATGTCCTTGATTATACCTTAATTTTAAAAATACAATTAGGGGCCAGCCTAGTGGCACAACAGTTAAGTTCTCACATTCTGATTTGGTGGCCGGGGGTTCACCAGTTGAGATCCTGGGTGCAGATCTAGGCATCGCTTACCAAGCCATGCTGTGGCAGGTGTCCTACATACAAAATAGAGGAAGATTGGCATGGACGTTAGCTCAGGACCAATCTTCCTCACCAAAAGCAAAGGGGGTTGGCCAGCCCGGTGGTGCAGTGGTTAAGTTCTCATGCTTCACTTCAGCAGCCCGGGGGTTCACCGGTTCAGATCCCAGGTGTGGAGCTCTGCACCACTTATCAAGACATGCTGTGGTGGGCGTCCCACATATAAAATAGAGGAAGATGGACATGGATATTAGCTCAGGGCCAGTCTTCCTCAGCAAAAAGAGGAGGAGTGGCAGCAGATGTTAGCTCAAGGCTAATCTTCCTAAAAAATAATAATTAAAAAAAGTAATAATAAAAATACAATTAGATATTCCAGGAGAAAATGGGGGAAATTTGAATATGGACAGAGTATTAAATGATACCAGGGATTTGTTGTTAAATTTGTTTGATGAGATTATGATATTGTGGTTATGTAGGAGAATGTCCTTTTTTTTCTTTAATTTAGAAATATATACTGCAATATTTAGGTAAACTCCTCCAGATCTAGAGTTTACTTTAAACCAGTTTAGCCCTTGTTATACATAAAGATGAAGCAATATCAATATGTAAGTAGTGGTTATACGTGTGTTAATTATACTCTTTTGGGGCCGGCGCCATTGCCAAGTGGTTAACTTCACACTTCTGCTTTGGTGGCCCAAGGTTTGCTGGTTCTGATCCTTGATCATACACACTGCTGCTCATCAAGCCATGCTGTGGTGGCATCCCACATAGAAGAACTAGAATGACCTACAATTAAGATATACGACTATGTGCTGGAGCTTTGGGGAGAAAAGAAAAAAAAAAAAAGAGGAAGATTGGCAACAGATGTTAACTCAGGGCCAGTCTTCCTCACCAAAAAAAAAAAAAAAGATTCTACTTTTTTGTATGATTAAAAAATTTATAACAAAATTTTTTTTTAAAAGAAGACTTTCTGGGCAAAGAGGGGGATAAATCATACAGAAGCTTTATCAAAGCATTGATCTAAAAGTTTACACTAGAATGACAGAATCCAGCTATGCCAAAAAAAAAAAAATGGGTAGAGCACTCAGGTTTGGAAAAGAAAATAAAAACAGAGCTTACAGTGATGCCCTGAGATGCTTGCACATAACCAAGTGGTCTTTACATTCCTTGGCATGTTCACATAGAAAAATGAACCTCTGTGACTTCTGCCCCTCATTCTCTTTCCCTTGTTTTCAAATTTCAGCTTATTCTGCTATTGACCTTCCTGATAGCTTCTTCTAGGACCTTACTGACTTTTTACATGAGCCTTCAATTATGCACCTCCTTTGCCTTTTGTAAATATTTTCAATCTCATCCGAAGGCTCTGTGAACAGCAGCATCACTTTCCTCATTTGTTTCCATCTTTTTTGACTCCCATGGATCTTTTTCTTCACATTTGCAATTTTGTTTCTGATAGCTCTCTAACTTCGGAGATTTTTTTCTTTCTACAATTTCAAGCTACAAAAGTATGCCCATCTCATCTTTTAGTTGGAATCTGCTGTCCTAAAACCAAGACACCTACATCTGTCCATTGCCCCCTTTCCAGGACTGCATGAGGATGGGGAGGGCAGCAGTCCTCCTGCCCCAAGTTCTAGAACTTTAATTCATTGACAATTCTTCCTGATGGCCCAAAATTAGGTTCAGAGTAGCAGTTTCCAAGTTTCTAATTCTAACTTCTGAAAACTCAAATAACCAACAAAAGAAGTGAAGAATTTAGCTTTGGGTGCTGTTTAGCTCGGCTGATTCAGCAGAACTCTGAATACTGATCCCCAAAACTCATTTTGTCTCTGTGATCTGTGGAAAAATCAAGACTTCCTTTCCCTCCACTTGGCCACTTGCGTTTATAACTTAAATGCTCTACTCTTCTGTCCTTGATTTTCTCAGGTATTCCTTTATAGCATACTTCATTACTCCATCTTATCTCCTGCCCACTTTGCCAAAGGTTTCCAAAAAAACGAGGAATGGAGTCAGAATTAGAGAACAGAAATCTGACTTTCTATGAGAGCTGGCACCACTATATCCCACTGCTTAAACAAAAAGGAAAACTAATTTAGGGAGAGAGACTTGTACTAGAAAGAGACTGTTAGCTCTTATTAGTGAGGAAGGAGAAGCGTGACATAATCAACCACTTCCCCTAACGGACCAGGTTTAGGAACGGTGAGTTAAACCCCAGCTTCTAGTAGGGCAATCTTGGTGGAAACAGGCCAACGAAGAGAGCTTGAGGGGGCAAAACTAAAAAAGAACTAAGTTCTAATCACAGATGTGACTCTATGGGGTGATGGAACCCAAACCCAACGGTTCCCTTTGGCTTTCTTCTGAGATTGGGTTTTAGTAGCAGTTTTTGACTTTTAATTGTAAAAGATGCTTGATTGTGTGTTTAAAATTGTTTAGGTAAAAAATGAAGTACTGTTTCTTGACTGCTCAAGCATAAAAGATGAATAATGGGAAGAATGTGTGTGACTTGGCCACAAATTGTAATAGCCATTTGATCTCCACAGTTCTTGTTGTTATTAATATTAACTTTTCCCATTTCTAGCAATAGGTTGGCCTATAGTCTTAATTTGCAGCGTTGTTAAGAGTGTTCATCTTTTTCTGAATTTTCATAGCTATTTTCTTTGGAAGCTGATCAAGTCTGGTTCATGCGTTACCAACCACGCGCCATCGTTCTGAATTTGCCTCCATTAAGATTTCATGTGCTTCAACCTATAGAACAGAAGGGTGGGACAAGTATTTCCGGGAGAGGACTGAAACATATCACAGAGGAGGCTAGAGTAGAAGAGAGCATGTAGCTACTCTAAATGAGTTTAAAACACTAGGTTCAGATTAATTCTAACCTGAGGAATTAAGGAATTTAGAAACACGATCTCAGAGCCAGGTAAGCGATTTGGGGAAATTCTGAAAGAGAGATCATCCAGATGCTGGAAACAGTAATGTTCAATCAGACAAAAAGGAAAAATATGGAAGCTACAGATGTGGATACCAGGAAAAATCTAAATATTCAATAACCAATTACTATATAGTTAATGAATATCTATAAACAATGCTATGATTGCTAAAACAACTGTATATTTTGAAGCAACAGCCAAATCATACTTAACAGTGAAACAAGACAGAAGAGATAATTTAAAAATCTGGAACATTGAATACAAAATTTTCATTATTTTCAGATAATATAATTGTATAATCAGATAGTTATAGAGAATCAATTGAAAACTTATTTTAATTAATGACAGTTCAGTAAATTAGCTAACTAAAGATAAATAAGAAAAATCAATACCTTTTCTATGTTTTTCCAACCACCATCAGAAATCTTAATGGAGGCAAATTCAGAACGATGGCACGTGGTTGGTAACGCATGAACCAGACTTGATCAGCTTCCAAAGAAAATAGCTATGAAAATTCAGAAAAAGATGAACACTCTTAACAACGCTGCAAATTAAGACTATAGGCCAACCTATTGCTAGAAATGGGAAAAGTTAATATTAATAACAACAAGAACTGTGGAGATCAAATGGCTATTACAATTTGTGGCCAAGTCACACACATTCTTCCCATTATTCATCTTTTATGCTTGAGCAGTCAAGAAACAGTACTTCATTTTTTACCTAAACAATTTTAAACACACAATCAAGCATCTTTTACAATTAAAAGTCAAAAACTAATAGAATTTAAAACAATGTAAAATATGAAAATAATTAGAAGAGAAACAAAAATAACAAAAAGAATAATGTAGAAAAAATAGGAAAAAAGTATAACTAGCATGAACCATAATGTATTTAAAAGAGGGATAAAAGGTACAAGAGTAATGTTTTTTAGAACATACAAGGAGAAATTGACAGAAATATAATCTAATGGGAAACAATACACCACTTTCAGTCTTTGATTGATCAATTTAAAAAAAGCAGAAGACCTGAATAGAGTAATACAGATCAATCTGTAGATCTACACATAGCTTTTTTAAAGCACACAGTTAACATTTATTAGAAGAAAAATCTTCTTTCATTCATTCAATAAATATGAATTGCTAACCTGTGTGCCAGACAATCCCATTATCCTGACCCAAACAGGATGCTATTGAGTGTTAAGTCGTGAAGAGAATGCCAGGACTCCCTCAAAGCAGGAATTGTTTTGACTATAGTCTCTGATCACAGTGTAAAAAAACTAGAATTAAACACACATACACACACACACACCACTTTCTAAGCACTCCTGGGGAGAACTGAAATCAAAACTGCAGTTAACAATATTTAGAAATTAATGACAATGAAAGCATTGCATACAAAAATTTATAGGGTACAGGCAAAATTTAACTCAGATGCCAATCCATGGTTTTAAATGATTTCGTTATTAGATACGAAATATTACAACTTAACAACCAAAGCATTCAACTCCAGATAGAGAGGTAAAACACAGCATAAGTAAAGTAAGTCTGATTAAGATACACAAAGTCGGAAAAGTCTATTCTTTCATCCTAACAAGCAAAACAACCAAATAAGCTGCAAAGTCATAATTTTTAAGCCAATCAGAAATCTGAGGATATAAAGAAACCTAAATGAAATAATTTAAGAAATGAAAAAGCCCTTCATAGGAGAAAAAAAAAACACAGCTGCTTATATCCTGGGCATAGTGACAAGAATGAGGACAAATGCACCACAGATGGTTTTAAGGAGGAATGAATAGAACTTTCAACAAACTTTTAACCACCATATGGAATTACACACTAGAATTCAAAGGAGCCACAGCCACAGATTATATCTGCACCCACACGTCAAGGCTTTCCCACAGTTCTTCCCCTGGCACAAAGATAATTCCTCAGCAACTCAAAAAGCTGGCAGTCAGAACATAAAGAAGAGAAAGATCACCTATAGTTAGGAAAGCTGGTGGCTCACCTTTAAAGTACTAAGAAATTTTGGGATTCTTGCCAGTGCTTAGTCCCCAAACACCACTGAAGGGTAAATCCTGATCCTACCCTAAGCTGGTGAAGCCAGTGGTGACCTGAATCAAACGAAAGCTAAATTAATTAATTAATTAAATAACAGACCAGCTCAACAACAACAGATGACCACATTAACTTAGGTGCCACTCTAGCAGTATGGCAGAAGAAGTGGCATGCCCTTTTTAGGAGGTAAATATTATTAACTTCAGTGTCTAGTATCCTTTTATGCAAAACATCCTCTAGGCAATCAAATATTATGAGATACACAAAGAAGCATGACAATATGGCTTGCGGTCAAGATAGAAAAGTATTGATAGAAGAAGACCCAGAGATGGTTTAGAGGTTGGAATTATTAGATAGGGACTTTGAAACATCTGATAAAAATGCTAACAGATCCAGGGGAAAATTTGGACAAGATGTACGAAGAGATAAAGAATGTCAGGAAAGAGTTGGAAGCTGTAAAGAAAGAACCAAGGGATGCTAGAAACGGAAAATATATCAGAAGTGTTGAACGGAAGTATCAGAGTAAACATTCCTACCTTATTCTTGAACTGAGGAGAAAAGTATTCAGTCTTTGACCATTAAGTATGAGCTTAGTTGCAGGGTTGGGAGACAGAGGGATGGATTGGTGGGGTTTTTTTCAGATGTCCTCAAATTAAAGAAATTTCCTTTTTGGTTTGCTGGGAGTTTATTTTATCATGAATGAAGGTTGAATTCTGTCACATGTTTTTCCACATCAATGCAGATAATACAGTTGGCATCAGAAGTGGGATTCTCTAGAATGACGCTGAAATACGGTGAAAGTATTCTTTGGGAAAAGGATGAGGGGGCAGGAAATGACGACATTTAATGCCTAGACAGCTACCAGGTCACCTGTGGTATGAGACAGCAGATGCTCAGCCATCAGTTACTGGAGGCAAAAGTTATTGGTGGAATCTAGAAATGAAAACCCAACTCCCAAGGAGTTGGCTCGCTGGATACGTAAAAAAATGCACATCATGACAAAGTCAATATACAATCCCTCAGTTATTTTTATCTATAATAAGCTAAAATCAAAGTGAAGCAAGGTGTTGGGGTGGATTCTGGTGCTGCACTAAGCTCAGATTCGGGCCAGGCTGAGCTACAGCCTCTAGCCTCTGGGCTCCTACTGAACTGAAAAATTATGCTGGAAAAACAAATAGCACTTCTGTAACCTCTGGTCACCAAAAGGTAGTCAAGGTTGGGGGGGCACAACAAACAAGTAAAACCAGGGAGTCTCATGTGAAGGAGTTGTCTCATTTTGTGAATGGATATCATCAGCTTCCTGAAGAACCTTTACTAAGTGGATTGTGAGGGTGACTAACCAATGAGCAGTTGTTTGGGTTTTGTATGTTACAGAATGGAGGGCATGTTTAGGTTGATGCAAGACCCACAGTTCACTATTCAACAGTCACAGATCACTACATAGTTTCCCCAGGGCAGAAGGCCCCACACCTAGCTGGCAAGCAGACCACATAGGGCCCCTACTGGTAACCCTGGGAGGCTATAGATGGGTCCTGATGGGAACAGACAGTTACCCTGGGCAGAGATTTGCATACCTGGTGGCAGATGCAAATGCTTAAAACACTACAAAAGGACTGGAACAGAACTTACTATATCAGTTTGGACCACCAAATTATACTCCTTCAGACTAAGGAACACAGTTTACAGCCAATACTATGAGGACAATTCAGTGGTAATTCTTAAAATATAGCAGTGGCTTCTGCATCTGTATTTTCAGTGTTTGTGATGAACTCTTACATAACTGCAATAAAAGAATAATATACTATTTTATTAACTGGAACACCTGCTTTATTTTTATATAATCCTTCATTTATTTGCTTTCTATATTCATCTTTAAGCCCTCATAACTTGCACCTTCTCCACAAACTAGGTCTCTAGGAAAGCAGCACACAGCAAATGTATAAAAATCTGTAAAAATAATGAGTGTGCTATTGTTGATGAAAATGACTGATATGTAGAGAAAAAAGTATATACAGCAATTAAAAACTTAATTTCCATTTCATTATAAAAGAATATATAGGAACAATGAGAACAAAAGAAGAAAAGCTATCAGAGAGAAAGTATAGGAATTTTTAAAAGCAAGATTCAAAAGGAAGGTGGGAGAGGAAGCAAAGAAAAATCATTTAGCAAAACTGTTCGATAAAACATGTAATAGGAAACAGGAAATGCTTCCAGCACTGACACAGGAGCAATCACATCCACATCTCCCATTAACTTTCTGTTTGATGCCTCAGGGAGTCTCAGCTCACTTTCCTGGGAGACCTCAGTCTTGAGGGTTGATTTCCTTATTGTCTTGCCCTTTCTTCTTTTAGAATTATCAAACTCTCCATCAACAATATTAAAACAAAATGTCTAACATGGACAAGAAATTGTTTGTAGTAAGAATTTGATTGTTTTTGAATGGATTACTTGATTATTTTGATTTTGATCGAGTATGGGGTGAGATGAAGGGGTCTTGCCATTTTTCCTTAATTCTTTAATGATAGACATTCATTCCTTTATATTCAACAAATGCTCCCATTTTGTACATTTTTCCCATAATTCTTCATACCACGGTAGTGATGGAAGAAGTACCAGGGAAACTACAGGCCTCTCCCAGGCCAAGAGCACCCAGGGAAGTAGCCATCCATGGTAAAGCTAGAAAGGATATACAAGTTTATCTGGTTGAATTTCCTCATTTTGAGCTTCGAGTCCATTGAGACTCACCCAGAATTACACAGGTAATTAGTCACAGATCTAGAGGGAAGCCACAATCTTCTCACCACATTGTTTTTGCTACTCTCCACTCTTTCTAAACTTCTTGATCCATCATATCCTATATCAAACTGGAAATCAACTTGCGTTAGTCAGGGTTACTAGTAGGGTCCTCCAGAGAAACAGAACCAATAGGAGGTGTACACATAGAGAAAGATGCTGATTATAAGGAATTGGCTCACATGATTATGGAGGTTGGCAAGTCTAAAATCTGTAGTGTGGGCTGGCAGCTTGGAGACCCAGGAGAGCCAATGGTGAGATGAAGTCTGAAGGCAGTCTGTTGGAAAATTCCCTCTTGCTCAGGGAAGCTGGTCTTTTTGTTCTATTCAGGCCTTCAACTGATCGGATGAGGCCCACCCACAATATGAAGGGCAATCTGCTTTACTCAAGTTCACTGATTTAAATGTTAATCTCAGCCAAAAACACCTTCCATAAAATTAACCATCACACAATTCCTCCAAGAAATATCTTCCTACTAATATTTTGCCATTGATCTCTGCAAAGTTGGGAGATTTAAGCAGCAGGCAAAGCTTAGTTTTTCTCCTTTTTTCTTCCTGTAATGGACATATAAGAGGCCTAAAAGAGAGTAGTGTGGTAAGCACCCAAGGAGATATCCAGGAAGGAACTAGACAAGATAGGTGTGGAGACTGAAGAAAGC